AATTTACTTGCAGAATAACTTGATTCTTTCAAGACCTGCTTTGAAGTTCTTCTAGAATGGGCCTGGAGCACCTCCACTCTGGAATTGATCATTCTGTTCCTCTGTGTGCCTCTGTGTCTCTAACCCATCCTTGGGTGGTTCATAGCCTTATTCCTCAGGCAGGGTAGAACCCATGTGATTCCAGACTATAAGAACCACAGTACATGTTCAGCTCAGCCCCCTGGCAACCATTCCTCCCTCAGTATTCGATTTGTCTGGCCATGGGGTCAAGGCAGTTAAAAATTTGACTTAGAACTCAAGAGACTCCAATTCATGTTCTGGGGGCTTCATTTTCCTCCTCCCACCCAGCTACCCTGGTTCTGGCCTGAGTCTGGTAGCTAATTCTCTACACATCTCTACAACTTAACTAGAGAACGGTGTCAAATTTGGTTTCCCTACCTCCAGGAAGAAAACAGGGCAGTGGGGGATTTGCCTTGTTGTTGCCCTCCCCTGCATCCCTGTCATTTGACAGTGGTTTAGAGTCGGGTATTGGAGAGGTTGGTCAGGACCCCTTTCTCTGCCATCAGAAGGAGATGCCTGGCTAGTACCCAAGGAGCTGCCAATTGTTATTCCTGAATAGACAGACACCACCATCCCCTCTCCCACAAGAGGTGAAGGTGGGACTAAAGGGGAGGAGTAGAAGAGGAGTAGAGAATAATGACATCATTGCAGAGTCATAGCCGGTCTGAGAGCATGCATGGGGGCAGAGTGTGAGGCTCTAGAGCAGGTGTGTACCCCAAGGTAGGAGGCTGCCAGGTGATGTGACCCCGTGGAAGCCAGGCTGGAGGAGAAGAGGTACAGACAGAGGAAGATCTGAGCTGCTATGGATTAGAGGGTTAGGATTTAGGAAGTGGCTGCTGTGGTAGCCACGGAGAAAGTGCTAGAAGTGAGAGCATATGGAATAGAAAAGACACCCATGTTTTGTCCTTGCAGAGTTCAGATCCTAAGTGAGAGGGGAAGGGGGAAGTCCTGGAGTCCAGGAGAAGATATGGAGTGGTCAGTTGTGAGTCCGGATGTGATATGCCTGGAGTACTGAAGCCATTTAAGATGGTCCGTGGGAATGAGTCCACGACACAGGAGACAGGCCAGTGGACCCCAGTGGACCCCAGTGGGGCAGGTGCAATAGCTGTGGTACAGCTCAGAGCCTGGATCCCACAGTACCCACCAACTTCTGCGTAAGTGGAAACTGCAGCTTTGAGATTATTCTGAGCCCCAGTGATGAGACAATGGTTCCACAGATATGGCTGTTTACTGTTGTATGGACTCATTCCCAAGGTTACTGGTCCAAAGTGTGGGACCATCTTAAATGGCTGCTCACAGTATGAATAGACGGTCTATAAAAACTGATGCAGGAAGTTATCTCTGTAGGGCACAGGCTTCTGCAGGGAAGTGGGGGATTGCTCAAGAGCAGCAGCAGAATAGGGTTAAGTGTCTCTTCAGGGGACAGGTGACTTCAGCAGAACACCTATTAGGGGAGGGGGAGTTGGGTTAGGATGTGGACCAGAGAAGAGGAAGAAATGAGAATGTTTGAGATAATGGGTGATTGATAAGCACGAACATTTGTTGTTGTTGTTGTTTCAAAACATTTCTCTTTAATCATTTTTTCCAAGAATCATTAATGTTTTAGTTTCTCTTCTTTTCCACTCACTTGATGTCGTTGACCTTTACCCCTTATCATTATATAGCAAGCCAAATGCTTATATCTAGTTAGGTGCATCTTATTCATACTGTGCCCTAGCTGGCAGCAAACGTGCGGTTACAAAGTAAGAAATTTGAGCCCAGTGGTCAATTCTGATTTTTTTAATTAATTTATTTTTTTTTTACATTCTAATCCCAGTTCCCACTCCCTCCTTTCTTCCCACTCCTTCTACTCCCCCTTCCTCCCATCTGCTCCATGGAGAGGGTCAGGCCTCCCATAGGAAGTCTACTAAGTCTGTCCCATCATCTCGTTGAGGCAGGGCCTCTCCACCCCCACACCATGTCTAGGCTGAGCAAGGTATCTCTCCACATAGAATGGGCTCCACTAAGTCAGTCTGTGCATTAGTGTTATTTTAGGATGCCATTGTTTCTTACCACTGAGTAGTACTTTATTGTGTAAATATACCACATTTTCTTTATCCATTCTCTAGTTGAGTGGCATCTAGGCTGTTTCCAAGACTGGCTATTATAAATAATGTTGCTATGAATATATCTGAGCAAATGCCCTTGTGGTGTGAATGTGCTTCTTTTGGGTATATGCCCAACAGTGGTACGGCAGGGTCTTGAGGTAGGCTAATTCCTAATTTTTTGAGAAATCGACATACTGATTTCCATAGTGGCTGTACAAGTTTGCACTCCCACCAGCAATGGAGGAGTATTCCCCTTTATCCACATCCTCTCCAGTATAAGATGTCATTGATGTTTTTGATTTTAGCCATTCTGATCCGTGTAAGATGAAATCTCAGAGTGGTTTTGATTTGCATTTCCCTGATGACTAAGGATGTTGAGCATTTCCTTAAGTGTCTTTCTGCCATTTGAGATTGTTCTGTTGAGAATTCTCTATTTAGATCTGTACCCCATTTTTTATTGGATTATTTAGTAGTTTGATTTCTAGTTTCTTATAGTTCTTTGTATATTTTTGAGATCAGCCCTCTGTCAGATGTGGGATTGGTGAAGATCTTTTCCCATTCTGTAGGGAGCCATTTTGTCTTGTTTTCTATGTTCTTTGCTTTATAGAAGTTTCTCAGTTTCAGGAGATCCCATTTATTAATGCTTTCAGAATCTGTGCTACTGGTGTTCTATTTAGAAAAAAGTCTTTGTGCTTATTTGTTCAAATGTATTTCCCACTTTTCCTTTTATGAGGCTCAGTGTGGATGGATCTATATTGAGGTCATTGATCCATTTGGACTTGAATTTTGTGCATGGTGATAGATATGGATCTGTTTGCATTTTTCTACAGGTTGACAGCCGGTTATACCAGCACCATTTGTTGAATATGCTTTCTTTTTTCCATTTTATATTTTTAGCTTCTTTGTAAAAACTTAGGTGTTCATAGGTGTGTGGGTTGATATCAGGGTCTTTGATTCTATTCCATTGGTCCACCTGTCTGTTTTTATGCCAATATCAAGCTTTTTTTCATCACTATAACTCTATAATAGAGCTTGAGGTCTGGGATGGTGATGTTCCCAGATGATCCTTTATTGTACAGGATAGTTTTGACTGCCAGTGGTTAGTTCTTAACAATATGAGATTAGCTGAATATATTGTGATGCCTAGAGTATCATTTTCATGTGCATACCCGTTTCTGAGCAATCTGTATGTCAACTTTATTATAATCCTATTCTTTATAAGTTCTCAGAATAATACCTAACTCTATGGAGACTAAGTTTCTTTGTTCTTCCTGGGAATTTCTAAATGTACTTCTTAAAGGAGAACTAGAAGTTTTAGATTTCTTTATTGATACTTTGATATTATGAGTATCTGAGTGTTCATATCCTGGTGCCAGAGAAATGTCTGCCCTTTCATGCCCTATCGCTTTTTCCTTCCGTGTTCCTATAAGGTTTTTAATGTCATCTCTTAAGAAACTGTTTTCTTGGTTCCTAAGTTCTTTGGAATATATTTATCTCTTTTTGGTATTGAACAAGCAATAGTCATTAACTTTAGTGAGTTCCTCCTGCTTATACAGGATGACTGCAAAGACAAGCCAGGGATGCCTGGAGAAACTAGTTGCTGTGACAGATCAGAGAAATTTGGTTTTTCTGTAACAGCTTTTGTTCCCAATAAACTCAGGCATAATCACGACTAACAAGGCAGAACCAAGAGTTTCCATTAAGAATAAGCATAGCAAAAGTTAGTGAAGCCGGAAGACCATGAACTCCCTTAGGTCAGCATAGGAGTTTTCAATATTTTATCCATAAGTCCTTGCCAAATAAATGGGGTTCTCCAAAGGGTCTTGCCATCTTAGGAGCTCTATTTGCAACACACCTGTGCACCGTTCCCAAGGGCGACAGCACTGTTTCCTACAGTCTTCTCTCTCGAGCCTGGGGTGAGGCCAAGGCTTTCAGATCCTGTATCAAAGTCACTGACTCTGCAGCCTGTCGCCCACGGCTAGGCAGATCCCTTCAGCCCCAAGGAATATGCACACAGCACCTCTCTCCTCCACCCTGTCATTTCTCTTTTGAGTTGTCATGATCCCTTCCCTGGCTTCTGTTCTCTGTGTTCAGTATACAGAGCTCTTCTCCATGGCAGCTCACTGTAGGCATCTCAGGCACCATCCAAGAGAGTGCAAAGTATTTCTGTGGGAGAAAGGATATCCAGCTTCAGGGGTGATTAAAAACTGCCTGTCCTAACCGCTCCTTTGGGCCCTGTCAACTGGTCTCAGGGGACAACAGTCCTTGAGGGGGGCAAGGAACAAGGTGAGGCAGGGTGTGTCCTGTATCAGGGTTGCAAACTAGATACCTTGGAGGTGCCTCCCATAGTCCTGTGAGATGCTCTCCCCACCCTCACCCAGAAGACTCTTGGATGGAACATCCTTTTTCCACATAGCCACATTCCAAATATTAAAAAAAAAAATCAGTTGTCTCTATGATAGGCACAAACTTTATCCAGTGTCACGAATGGCTAATCCCTTCCTGGGTGTGACCCTGAGAGTGGCCAGCTCCAATTGCACACGTGGCCCATTCCCCATGTCAGTGGCCTGGCATGACCCTGCTTCCTGCCATGGGCAGGGGGCAGCTTGCTTATGGAGCCAAGCCTGCCCCAGCCTGGAAACCTTGTGTGGCTGCTCTCTCAATGTTTTCTCCCACCTCCTCCAGGCCTCCACGTGGAGCTGTGTCAGCTTCTCCACACAAAGGTGCCAGAGGGCTGGGGCCACTGGTAGGGGGCGGTTATCAGAGCCATTGAACAAACAGCCAGGAGCCAATAAAACAGCAGCCAGTGGGAACTGGGCATTCTTCAGGTTGCCCAGGTACAGTAGAGCAGACATGGGACCTCGAGGTGCCCCTCTCCTGGCAGTGGTCCTTGTCCTAGGGCTGTGTGCTCTGGTGGAAAGCGAGAAACCTTGTAAGTAAAAGTCCATGGGTGACCCCCGAGGGTGGGAGGTGAAACCTGTCTGAGTTAGCGTGAGTGGCAGTGGGCTGCAGCTCATCCGTCACCTGTATTAGGCGGGGCTTTTCTATATGATCCCTCAAAGGATAAAGGCAGGGTGGCAGTTTGCAAGGAGCTAGACAGAACCCTGCAGCCCTGGTGTTGCTTGTGAAGTGCACACAGCAACCCTTACTTAGAAGGGCCTTCTGTAGGTGTCAGCCTGGTTAGGACAGGAGGGCCTGCTGCCCTGCTCTGTCTTGCTCATCTTCTACCTTGATCTCTGCCCCTTCCCCAGGGTCATCATCTTTACAGAAGTTTTGTGTGGCCGGCTTCCTTCCTTCCTTCCTTCCTTCCTTCCTTCCTTCCTTCCTTCCTTCCTTCTTTCCTCCCTTCATTTCTTTTTTAAACAAATGAAGCTGTTTCAACAAAAGCCTGTGGTTTCCTTAGGAGGACGCCAGCAGCTCTAACGTGGGCATATAAGACCCCCGTCACTCCTTGTGCCATGGATTTTAGAAGGGTCCCTGATGTCCCAGAGCAGGTTGGGGCAGGCATATGGGGCCAGGGCTGACCACAGACGGATCTATTCACAGCCCCCTGCCAGTGTTCCAGGATAACACCGAAAAACAGAAAGAACTGTGGCTTCCCGGGCATCACCAGTGACCAGTGCTTCGATCAGGGGTGTTGCTTTGACTCCAAAGTTGCTGGGGTCCCTTGGTGTTTCCACCCACTTCCAAAAGAAGGTAAACTTTGGAAAAACAGGTCTTCCTGCCAGCTGAGCAAGGTCTAGAGCAAGATCTTGGAAGCCTGGCTATTTATCTAGAGCTAGCCCAGGCTTACCAAAAAAAAAAAAAAACAAAAAAAAAAAACCAAAAAACTTAGCACCTCTTCTATACCTCCCCCTAACCCACCCCACATCCCCATGCCCTGTATCCACACTTGCCTGTGAGCAGACCTAACCCCCCCCCCCACGATTTAAAACCATAATTTTAAAGAAGCATCAGAAAGAAAATGGAGGCATCAGCTAAGGTGGCATTACCACCCCTGCAAACTGACTTCTATCAGCTTTGTTTTGGAATGTGTTTCAAGTCAGGGAAAACTGTGAATGTAGTATGCGCAAGGCCAGCTGTGTGCGTGTCCACTGCAGGCATGGATCTTGCTCTTGGGGCACACTCATGGTGGGGAATTTCTTCCCTGGCGTTCAGTGTACTTTAAAGAAAAACAAACAAACAAACAAACAAAAACAGGTAGGTGGGTAGCTGTGTGCAAGGCCCTTTTCAGGACCAGTGTCTTCAAGCCTCTTCTGGGCTTGCTACAGTGGGCTGCTCTAATTTCATAGAGCTGAACACTGAGTCCAAAAAGGGTGACTTGGTTTTTCCCGAGGTTCCCGTTCTGAACATAGTCCCACCTGTGATGGCTTCCCCATACTAGTAGTCTCCTGTGGGAAGGGCAGCCAGGCCCTAGCTATTACCATCCCAAGAGATATCAACATCAACGGAAGGATTTCCTCGGGACACATGGAGGCTGCAAACCCAGTATCCCTGGGAAGGCCTGGCTGTTAGCAGCCGGCCTGACAGAGCCTTGTGTGTTGTTCCTTCCCACGGCCAGCATCAGAGCAGTGTGTCATGGAAGTGTCAGCCCGCAAGAATTGTGGGTTCCCGGGCATCAGCCCCAAGGAGTGTGCCTCTCGACAGTGCTGCTTCTCCAGCTTGATCTCCGAAGTGCCCTGGTGTTTTTTCCCACAGTCTGAGCAAGGTAAATGTTTGCAGGTGGGGGTCCACCTGGGGCCTGGCATGAGCCACTCCCACCTGCTGAGGGCCCCTCCCTCGTGTGTGTGTGTGTGTGTGTGTGTGTGTGTGTGTGTTCCTTCACAAGTGTGTGGTTTGACATTGGGTGTCTCCCTTAGCCCCTCTCCATCATAGTTTTTGAACTTAGAGTTCACTGATTGGCTAGGCTGACTGGGCTGTGAGCGTCAGGGGTCTGTCTTTCTCCACCCCCACCGGAAACCAGCACGAGGGTTATAGACCTGCATTTTATGTGGATTCTGGGGATCCCTGAACTTAGCCATCCCCCAGTGGTTGGCTGTGTGACCACACACACAGGTCAGCAGGTCCTCCCAGGGAATTTATAATGGTTTTGGGGGGGGGGAACAGGTCCTCAGAGAGTGCTGAGGCTTGGGTGTCATCCCTGTCACATTTTGTCCTCCCTTAGACCACACTTCTGCGTGCAGCCATGTGTGGCTCCTTGTCATGCTTACCAACCACCCTGCTTTTTCACCTCCAGATTGTCATTACTGAGAAGTACTGCTGCCCAGCCATTGGTTCCCTGGGGGCTATAAGTCAGAAGAAGAACGTCTCAACCAGACTCCATCAATTTCTGGGTTTTCATAAACCATCTTGATCCTCTGCAGTGGCTAGACACAACATTTTTCCCAAGTAAAGAAAACCTTTAAATCCTGGCAACTTTTATTTTGGTTTCATTGAGACAGTATGTATGTGAATGTGTATGTCCGGGAGAGTGTGTGTGTGTTTGGGTATGAATACATGGTGTGTACACGGGTATATGTACACACCATGCATGTGCATATGGTGTGCAGAAGTGTGTGAATATGTGCACGATTATGAATACATTGGTGTATGCATGTGCATGTTCAAGCAACAGTGTGTGAATGTGTGCATATAAGAGGTATAGTTTTAACACCCATCCGTCCCCTCTGAGAGCAGCAAGCCACTGGGCACGTCTAAGTCACTCCAATAATGACAGTGCTCTGCCCATGTGAACTTCAGAGTCTGTCCTCTCTGTTCTCTTCAAAGAGCTCAATGAACTCTGGCCTCAGACCCTATAGGAGTAACACATGATTTCTAACCATAATTTCCCAAACCCTTCACTTGGACCAAATGCTCCGAGAGCTACTCACTTTTGACATGGGTCCCTGTCCACTGCTTGCCTCCTGATATGAGCAAGAGCCGTGGGGACCTGGAACATGGTCGTGCTCCTTGAACTGTTTCTTGGTCCAAGAACATCCTTCATCACATGTTCAGATGGAAGTTGCTGAGAGAGGAAACTGTTACAGTGAGGCAGATCTGGGCAGGCAGCCTCCAGCAGGGAACCTGTCCTCACTGCATTGTCTAAGGCCTCATTCAGTTCTCAACCTGTGGGTCATGATCCCATTGGCAAATCTCTAACTCCAAAAATATTTATATTACGATTCATAACAGTAGCAAAATTAAAGTTGTGAAGTAGCATTGAAAATAATTTTTATGGTGGGGGGTCACCACAACGTGAGGAACTGTATTAAAGGGTCACAGCATTAGAAAGGTTGAGAACCACTGAACTAAGGGCTGTTGGTGATATCCAGCTAGCAGCTAGGAGGGTGCAGTGATGGCATGAGGCTGGTTTCTGATAAATGTTTCTTGGGAAACTCTGGCCATCCAAGAATAGTGTTATAGTTTGCTTTTCTGTTGCTATGAGAAAACACTGGCCAAAAATAACTTGGGAGGCAAGGGTTTATTTAGTTTACATTCTTATCATGGTCCATTATGAAAGGAAGTCAGAGCAGGAATTCAAAGAAGGATCCTGGAGGCAGGTGCTGATGCAGAGGTCATGGAGGAGTGCTCTTTATTGGCTTGATCCTTCTGGCTTGCTCAATTTGCTTTCTTATACACCCCAGGACCATCTTCCCAGATGTGGCAGCACCCATACCAAGTTGGGCCCTCCAGCATCAATCACCAATCAAGAAAATACTCCACAGGCTTTGCCAAGGCCAGTCTGATAGAGACCTCTTGTCAGTTGACGCTCATCTTCCAAAATTACCCTGACCCGTGTCAATTTGACGAAACTCAGTACAGCTGTCTTCATCATTGTGGGCTGTGCTTGCCGGTCACAGGCTTGAAGCCTGCTTGTTGTCATAAGTCTTGCTTGCCCCACACTATGACTTAGCTGACCATGTGGCATCTTGCCATGTTGAGATTGTGCCACCTTCTGCCTTCCCCAGAGTGCTACCACCAGGCTCTTCCTGGCTCTGGAGTAATAGTGACTCTTGAACCAATCAAAAACCAGCCTCTATTCCCTTTAATTCTGCCCCCTCAAATGTTGTCTTCTCCACCTCATCTCCTCCCCTCCCCCACCCAAGATCCCTTAGTAGCCTCTACCTTCCCTGTCTTTCCATGCCATCTGCCTTTATAGACATCTAGGGTGCCCGAGATCGCGTGGAGTACTTTTGAGAAGCAATGATGGCAGTGCCTGGTGGGAGGGGTCTTGCAATAGTCAATCTGATACGAAGCAGATGATCAAGGGGTTTGCGAGCCTCAATTCACCTGTCCGGGCTCTGTGGGTCTTGGACTTGCCCACGTTTCTCTTCTTCCTGGTCACAGCACACGACCCTCCCCCGCCCTTCAATACTATCAGCTATCACCCTTCTCAGTCCCTCTCACTTCCCAGACAACCCCACCCCCACCCCTGTGCCTGTGGAAATCGCCTTGGAAGGGAGGGAGCTTCGGGACAGCTTCGACTTCCAGGTTAGTCATACAGATTGGGAAAGAAGAGTCCTCTTGCTTCTCAGTCCTGCTGGAGGGGGGACCTACCCCAATCCCAGTGGGTCTCCTGGAGGCTCTGATGACAGGGCACAGTCCTCGGTCACAATTGCCAGGCTTTCCCAAAGGCTCATGGCCAGTAGCCCCCATATTTATTTATTTATTTATTTTTTTGCTCAGCACTCAGTAATTTGATATTCACGTAGCGCAATAAAAGATGCAGTGCTGGTGCTGAAGAAGGGGCATTTCATTTCTCCAGGTTTCACTTGGCAGCCACTGTTCTCTGGTGCCCTCTGCTGGCAGACTCGGGGAGCAGCCTGTCTTCAATCTCAGTAGCCAACCACCCTGTTTCGTAGGTAACCTAGCCAGTGCCTTTTCACTAGTGGAACTCAAAGGGATAATAGTTATACCATGGACTTTTATTTAAAATCAGACGTATTAACATGTGAATTATGCACATTAAAATTTAAGTAAGTAGCTGTCCAGCACTCGGGAGGCAGCGACAGGCAGATCTCAGTGAGTTGGAGGCCAGCCTGCTCTACAGAGCAAGTTCCAGGACAGCCAAGGCTACACAGAGAAACCCCGTCTCAAACAACAAAACTCACAAAAATTAAGTAAGCAAATTCAGCAAGTTTGAGAAATGCACACAATTGTGTAAACACTAATTCAGTCAAACAGATACTATCATTTTGTCCCCCAAGTAGAGCTCCTTTTACGCTCGACAGGCTGTTGCATGTAAGGAAGTTTCATTTTTTACTATCCCTCAGTAGCACTCCACAGCAGGGTGTTCGGATGGGCTTTTGAGTTGCTTCCAGATCTTAATTATACAGGAAGCTGCCAGGAGTCTTTGAACTTACTTTGGTAAATGATTGATGACTAAGATAAACACCCATCATTTCTAGGGGTATGCTTAACTTTATAAGAGTAAGGACAATTGAAGTCACACCATTTCTCCTGCCCACGAGCAATGGCTGAGGGGACCAGATGCTCTCTATGTTCATCCAGCCCTCGCAATTATCAGTGCATATGCTAGAACAGCCTTCTTTTATCTTAACTTACTTTTTTCAATTAACAAGTGGTGTTGATCATCTCATGTCCCTCCCCCCCCCATCCCCTGTAGTCTTTGGTAAAAGTGTCTGTCTAGATAGTTCATTTTTACTTTCTTAACATTAAAAAGTTATTTTTTATTTTGTCATTTGTGAAATTCAGGGGACAACTTGTGGGTGCTGGCTCTCTCCTTCCATCATTAGAGTCCTGGGGATTGAACTCAGGTCCTCAGGCTTGGCAGCAAGTGCCTTGTCCTGCTGAGCCATATTGCCAGCCACAGCTCACACATTTTTAACTGTTTTAACTTTGTTTTCTTGCTATCAGTGTTCTTACATCCTATATACAGCTCCTCTATCAGGATCACCCTGTGATCCCTGCACTTGAGAGGCTGAGGGCCCAAGGTGGCTTCGAGGTTTAAACCAGCCTTGGCTGCACAGCGAGTTCTAGGTCAGTCCAGGTTTACACCCAGCAAATAAACAAGTCCCCTCCCTATTGCTGTGTGGTGAGCAGATATTTAATTCTGGTCAATTACTCACCCTTTTGTTTACTTTGGCAGTCTCTGGCAAAGTGCAAATTCCTCTAATTTTGATGAAATTCGGGTGTGTGTGTGTGTGTGTGTGTGTGTGTGTGTGTGCATGTGCACATGCGTGCGCATGACTCACTCTCTGTATTCTATCTAAAGACATCTGCCTAACCTGAGGTACAAACACTTCCTGTTACATTTTCTTCTGGGAGATCCATGCCTTCAATGTCCACATCTCCCGTGTGACACCTTTGGGGAGACCCATGGGTTTATCTGTCTTTTTTGTTTTGTTTTGTTTTGTTTTCAGGTTTACTTACTATTATTGCGTATGTGGGGTCACATGTGCCATGGCATGTACACAGAGGTCAGAGGGCAAATCTGTGGATCTTGGTCTCTTCCACTTTATACATGTATTCCAGGGATTGAACTCAGATTGCCAGGTTTGAGTGGCAAGTGCCTTTACCCCATGAGCTGGCCCATTGCTCTTTTAAAATGTCAACAATTCTTGGTTTGGACAAGCCTGATCATAAAGTGACTATAACACACTTTATAGAATTTACTGTTTTCTTTGTGAACAAATACGCCATTAAATGCTGAGGATGTAAGAGGCTGTGTTATTTTGAGATTCGGGTCTGGTGTACACAACCATAGGCTCAGCTTCCTGATTACACTCTGTAAATGTTATGTAAATATGTTTTGTCCACTTAGCTTCTCCTATCTCAGTGTGTTTCCCCTGCCAATGGTGCTTTTGGAGCATTTCTGTTCCAATCTCACCGTTCCTGGATTACAGGGCAGATAGGCTTTCTCAGCCCCCATAGCAGGATGCTTGTCACACCTTGGCTGTAGATGTCCTTCTTTATCATGTTCCATACTGTGGTTGCTTGACTTGGGTTTTGTCTGACATTAAAACTGCAGCCCCTGCTCCCAGCTCTGAGGCCTGGGAGTTAAATCACCTGTGGTGATTGGATGTTTTAAAAACCTTGCTTGGTAACCCACTGATGCCAGTTACTCAGCATGTCTTGGGAAGAGCAGAGAGGGAATGGATTGCTGGTCAGGAAACACACAAGACCTAATGACAGTACCCATCCTGGTAGCAAACCAAAGAGGCACCTAGAGTTTTCCAACAGGCCGGTTCTCTGGCAGTTTGACTTAAAACTCTCTACAGCGTAACAAGGTGTCCCCACAAAGAAAACCAGGATCCTGATAGAAATTACATTTTTGATGAATCATCTCGATACTTTTTTCCTTCTACTTTATGTGGTGCCACAAGTCCCTGTTCATGACTTTAGGGGATTTTGCAAGGGTTTGAAGATCTTTTGTGTTGGTTACTATGGGAGGTGAGTCAGGTCAGAAAGGGTGGGCACCCCTGGCTCCTTATGCTCCCCAGTCCTTATCATCCAGGAGTCTCCTAATGACCCACAAGTTACTTATCAGCACTTCTGCTTTATGGTTACATTGTTTGCCATGTACCTGGGCACACAAGAGTATCAATCATAATCTAAATAGCCCTCATAGCAGCAGAGGGAGCCTGTCCAGGATCCTGCCGGCTGCTGCTTTCCTGGGGTCTGTCAAGGCAGAAGAGCAAGCAACTGTGCAGCCTTGGAGACAATGTTCTAATCCCCCAGGAGCCCATGGCTGCCCAGGGGCAGGCAATCACTGATAACTATATCTGCCTTTATAGTACAGCACTGGGACACATGCTTCTGATGTTGCACTTTGAGCCAAGACATCAATGTTTATTACCCAAGCTTATTTATTCTGCTCACTGAACCCCCTGCAAAGGCTACCCTCTGTCTTGCAGGTCACTAGGGAGGTGAGCAGGGAGCAGCTCCATCCTCCCCCAGTAGATGAGGCTCGGGAGAGGCCCAGGGAAGGAAGTCACTGTGGCATGAAGAGTGGACCTTGGCCAGCACAGCAAGTCTAACTGGCCCTCATGTTAAGTGCCTGTGGAGTTTGCTATATAGGATGGCCATAACCATAATGAGTGACAGTGGCATACCGGAGCTCTTCCACACATCCTACCGTCATGGTGTTTTGTCTGACTATACGGAGTCAAGTGACCTCGTAAAGCCTCAAGCCCAGTGAGCCTTTCCTCCTTTAAGTCTGCAGTTCTGAACCTGTCTGCCTCAATCCCTTTTGCAGGGGTCACCTAAGACCATCAGAAAGCATAGATAGTCACATTATAATTAATAACAGAAACAAAATTACAGTTATGAAGTAGCAATGAAAGTAGTTTTATGGTTAGGGGGGTGGTTCACCAAAACGGGAGGAACAGTTTTAAAAGGTTGCAGAGTTTGAAAGATGGAGAAACATTATTTTAAGTTGTTTCAGGTATTTAGACACAACAATGACCAAGTAACTAAACAGAACTTGTTGCTTTTCTGTCTCTCCCAAAGGAGGACACACCTCACATAGACCCAACCACCTGTTTCACCTTCCTGTCAGTCATCATGGTCAACATCTTTTCTTCCTCTTTTCCTCTTCTTCCTTTCAAAACATACAGCTCATATAGAAAAGGATGATATAATAAAATGATTTGATATGCTTTTCAACAGAAGAAAAAGGGAAATCTTCAGTTATAAAATTCTTATTCTTAGAACAAATTTATTTTAAAAATCACTTTTTCTAAGTGAGCCAACATGACAGTTGTATCCAGTGATTAGTCATGTCTAATTCCTATCACACTAATGGTCACTGGGATTAAACTTGGTCACTTACATTCATCAACCCCAGTGTCAGCACCAGGTGGCATCATATGGGAGCAGTAACTTCCCCACTCAAGAAACGGGTAAGACGCAGGCCCTAAGTGCTGTGTCTTGGCTCTTGGGCTGGGTGCTTCCAGCCTGGGTCTCTTTCCACACAAAGCTCTGAGTCTTGCCCCTCTGGATCCTCCCATGTCCCACACCTTAGTAGCATCTCCTGTTGCTTTCTTTTTCTTACCCCTCCATCACATCCCTTCAGCTCAGCAGAACCAGCTCGGAGCCATCTTTGCCTCTGATATGCTAGTTCCAACGCCACATGCCCTGCTCTCTTTTCAACCCACAGCACATGTTGTGAAATGAGCATGCCAACTACTCAGTCCTTCCCAATATATCAAGCTACCAGAGGCCTGGGACCCTATGGGTGGAATTGCTGCCTGGGGTTGGAATTCGAGATGCCCCTCCACAGCCATCATTTTATCAACAGTGGCCACCAAGGTCATCTTCCTATCTTTCACAACACCTGCCTGGAGACTGTGCACATGGCGGTGGCTAATAAATATTGACTGTCCTTTGTTCAATAGCATTTCTGCCTGCAGGAACTCAGTAAATATTAACTCACTGGTAAAACTCCCCCAAGACATATAAAAACCAGCTGGCCATGAGGGCTCTGGGAGTGTGGCTAATCTGCGATGGACCTTGGTGAGCAGCTGTGG